GCCTTTGGCCATGAGTACCCTTTTCTGCTGTATGTCTCGTCTAAAGTCCACGGTGTCCTCTGATGGCAACAGTGGCCACTAGGAAGGCACATGTTGCTCCAGACTGGGCCTGTTCACGATTTCATGTGTAGGTGCATCATTTCACCGCACCTTCATGATCATCAATCACATTTCACTAACGAGGAGATACAGGCCTAGAGAGTGACCTGCAGGGGTGCTTTTAAAATATGTCCGCGTGTGGTTTGATATTCCTTCTTTCAAAAGGTGGAGCCTAATCACACTCCCCTTGCATGTGGTACATGAGCTGGACTTAGTGACTCACTTCTAATGAACACAATGTGGTGGAAGGTGCAGGTGTTTGGCTTCCCAAGTTGGGTCACAAGAGGCACTGCAGCTTCCTTCTTGGTCTCGAGTCTCTCACCCTGGAAGAGGCCAGTTACCATGTGGTGAGGACACTCGAGCAGCCCATGGAAAGGTCCGTGTGGAGAAAAACAGAGGCCTTCAGCCTGTGGGTGGGTGTGGCACCGTGTGGTACCGTGTGGGTAAGCCAACTTGAAAGTGGCTCCTGTAGGCTCAGTCACGTCTTCAGAAGACTACAGCCCCCTCGACGTCTTGACTGTAGCCTATGAGACACCTTGAAACAGAATCACCCAGCTGAGCAGCATGCACCTCAATTCCTGATGCACAGAAACTGTGAGAATTTAACAAGTGTTTACTGTTCCAGGCCACTAAGTGCTGGGGTAATTTGTTACACGGTAAGAGAAGCTAAAACACTTACCCGGGGTCATACGATTAGTAAGCTGGTAGAGGAGACATTTGAACACTGGTTTGTCTGTCCCCAGAGCTCATGTTCTTAACCTCAGCCCAGAACTGCTGGAAGTGCTAGTTTATATTTTGCTTCCTTTAGAAAACTTTGACAAAGTCTACCCTCAAAATTCATCTTCCTCCAATCTGTACCCTTAAGCCCTACTCAAAATGCCCATTTATTTTGCCCCCAACAATCCCCATATTTGCCCAAGACCAACCTTACTTCGTTTGCAACTTCCAGCTCCTTTCAGTTTTGGGACCTACATCTTAGTGTTGGCACTAAGATTAAATGAGATAATATGTGTAAAAGTGCTTAGCAGAGGAATGGCGAAATTATACTATTTACTACTTCAAGTATACTTTTTATTAATAGTATAATATAATTATATTATTTATTTGAACACAGTATTTCTTCTGCTCTATGGATGAGGTCTCAACTCTGGGTATATATTAGAATCACCCAGGAAGCTATTAAAAACAAACAAACAAACAAACAAACAAACCAATACATGGGCTATACCCTGAATTAAGAGGTCTGATTTAATAGGTCTTGGGGAAGCCAGGCAACAAAAACTCCCCAAATGACTTTAATGTGCAGCCAGGGTAAAAAACCACTGGATTAGGTCAGAGGTTCTCAACCAGAGGCTATTTTGTTGTCTCCCTGCCCCACTCGATCCCTCATGCCCCTGATATTTGCTAGTGTCTGGAGATATTCTTGATGGTGATGGCTTTAGGGAGGTGCTATTGGCATCTAGTAGGTGGAGGCCAGAGAAGCTGCTGAACATTCCACAATGCACAGGCCAGCCCCACATCAGAGAATTATCTGGTGCTAAATGTCAATAGTGCTAAGGTTCAAAAAACCTGGATTAGATATTGTTTCCAGCTCCTGCTCTCATTCTCTTTAAGAACATTGGTTCTTACTTATCTCTCTGACTCTTCTGGTATCTTTGAGAAAGATACAAGACCTGAGTCCTTCCCTCTCAAGACCAAATGTGGGCACCAACCAGCTTGGCTGCTGCCCCAACTGGGCTGGCTCCAGGCCTGTCAGGAGGGTCTGTGAATGGTCTTGTGCTTCCCCATTTCCCTTCAGTGCTTTAGCATCTGTATTAGAACACTTGCTACAGAAACTATACTTAGTTGTAAATATGTCTCTCTTACTCCCAAAGCCAGAGCCCATATTTTATTCATCTCTATTTATTCCACAATACCAGGCTCTGTGCATTGCACTTGGTAGGTGTTCAATAAAATACTTATTGCATCAAAGTAGATTAATATAATTTAAAGTTTTATCACACTTCTTGGCATCTCTTTGAAAGGTTACAGAAATAGAGGATACAAATGCCAGTTAGGAGAGAGCTCTTATATTTCTGTTCTTGTGGAGTTAAAGTCAAATGGTCAGTTTTGCTACTTCTTAGTGTATTCATATGAGTTGCCAGAGGACGTGAGCAACCATTTTAAATTAAGATATATTTAAAAAAAATTTTAATGTTTATTTTTGACAGAGAGAGAGAGACAGAACGCAAGCGGCGGGGGGGGAGGGGGGGCAGGCAGAGAAAGAAGGAGACACAGACTCTGACGCAGGCTCCAGCCTCTGAGCTGTCAGCACAGACCCTGATGTGAGGTTCGAACCCACGAACCGTGAGATCATGACCTGAGCCAAAGTCAGACACTTAACTGACTGAGCCACCCAAGCACCTCAGAAGATATTTTTATAATAAATGACTAGGGATTTGAGAGGACTCTTATTTAGAGAAGTTCTCATATCTTTAAGATTCTTTTTCATTGGTTATCAGAAGTGAGAAAATGCTTCATTTTCAAGGCAAAGCAATAAGTTGGAGAATGATACTGAAAAAACCTTGTCTTAGAAAAATAAATGCAAACTCTTCCACTTATTAATCATTTATACTCAATACAAAAAATACGGTTTTCCAATATCACTCATTCTCCTTTCAATGTTTTGCTAGTCTCAGATTTTTATTTCTATTTTAATGTTTATTTACTTTTGATTTTTTTTTTTTTTATTTTCAACGTTTATTTATTTTTGGGACAGAGAGAGACAGAGCATGAACGGGGGAGGGGCAGAGAGAGAGGGAGACACAGAATCAGAAACAGGCTCCAGGCTCTGAGCCATCAGCCCAGGGCCTGACGCGGGGCTCGAACTCCCGGACCGCGAGATTGTGACCTGGCTGAAGTCGGACGCTTAACCGACTGCGCCACCCAGGCGCCCCAAATGTTTATTTACTTTTGAAGGAGACAGACAGCACAAGTGGGGGAGGGGCAGAGAGAGAGGGAGACAGAATCTGAAGCAGGCTCTGGGCTCTGAGCTGTCAGCACAGAGTCCGACATGGGGCTGGAACCCACAAGCTGTGAAATCATGACCGGAGCCTAAGTCAGATGCTTAACCAACCGAGCCACCCAGGCACCCCTGATTTTTAAAAAACTGATAACGGGTGCCCCGCTGGCTCAGTTGGTACAGCATATGACTCTTGACTTCAGGGTTGTGAGTTTGAGTCCTTTGTTGGGTGCAGAGAGTACTTTTTCTTAAATAAAAAAAAAAATTTTTTTTTACATTTATTTATTTTTGAGAGACAGAGAGAGACAGCGTGAGCAGGGGAGGAGCAGAGAGAGAGGGAGACAGAATCAGAAGCAGGCTCCAGGCTCTAAGCTGTCAGCACTGAGCCCAAAGCGGGGCTCAAACTCACAGACTGAGATCATGACCTGAGCCGAAGTCGGACACTTTGACTGACTGAGCCACCCAGGCACCCCCAGAGAGTACTTAAAAAAATCTTTTAAAACCCTGGTAAAATCTGGGGTATATTTAATTCTCCAAATAAAGAAAGTCAGTCAAGAGTCTATTCAACTTGGCATTCTCAAGAAGGGCATATCTAAACAAACAAACAAAAAAAAGTGATATTCGAGGGCTAAAGGTCTAATTTAAGGTCTTTCATTCTGTTTAATATGAGGTTTTACAAGCCTTGCTTAATTTTCTAATGCCTTGGTTTCCTTACATTGTTTTCACAAAGGGCTGGCATGAAAACATTTCAAAGCAACAAGTTAAATATACATCATTTTCTCTAAATTGATCTTTCTTCCACCTATGATCTAAAATAGTGGACCACTGCTTAAATGTCATCTTTCAGGTGAGATCCTTCCTGACCACCCTATGCAAAATTAAGCCCCTTCGATATTCTGCATTCCCCCTCTCTGCTTTCTTTTTCCCTATAGCACTTACTTGTTCATTGTCTGTCATCCCCCACTAGGATATAAATTCCATAAAGGCAAGGAAGGTGCTTTACCTCCAGCACCTAGAATGATGTTTGGTGCATCGTAGTACTCAATAAATACTTATTGTATGAATGAGTGAATTATGCAAATCTAGAGATGAAATACACTATAACACCATCAAAGGCAGGAATTAGGTGTGATTGAATCAACAGGGTTAGATCTCAAAAGCATGTATTTGAGAGCAAACAAAACCAAGTTGCAAAATAATGCATGCATTTCCTCATCTGCAAAATAGGGCTGGTAATGGCATTGTTATCAGGATCAAGTTAGTTCTTTAGTGTTAAATGCTGAGAACAATGATATAAGCACTCAATAAATGTTATTTGCCATCATCATCATTACATTGATGAGAAATCACTCACACCAAATAATACTACTAATTTTATATGATATAATCTAATTTTACATGGTTAACCAACCTTAAGAGCTCTGGAAGGACTATAGACTAAACTGATTACTTTTGTGAGGAGAGAAGAACTCATATGATGGTCAAGGAGAATTTTAAATTTATCTGTCATGTTCTAATATTTTAAATGTAGAATCGATCCATATAACTAAAAATCAGTATTTTAAAAAGTTTAGTCCTATTTCTTGAGACATAATAACCTTGAGAGGGGGCAGGGAAGAAGGGAGGAAGAGAGAAAGAATGAGGAGAGAGAACGGAGAGATGAATTACTTAGGATAAGAATTTTTTAACTTTTCTGATTTATTTCTGAAGTGCTTCTAGAATAATCACCACGGATAGGATGCTCTTAGCCTGGACTGAAAATAGCTAGAGACAAGAACCACGAATAAAACTGACCTGGAGTCCTGGATGGATTACATGAGTTAGTTGGATTGGAGAAAACTATCATTAACACAGTCTTAAAATAGGAATAAATTATTTGAGGCCTTATGTTGGTACTTACTGATGCTTCAGCCACTGCTCCACAAATGGAATGGAGAAGAATTCCGTGAAAGACTCCCCTATCCTCTTTGGATTTTGACTGGTAACGATGCCATATTTTGATTGACAAGAAAACAATAAGCAAAAATTCAAGTCAATTGTTGCTATTCTGCTTGCAAATGAACACTATTGAATCCTTAGGGTCATTGAATATTCAAACACATGCAAAACTTACTTGTATAACCACTCAGTCAGAAAATCACAGGCAATGAATTTGGTTCTTTTTCTCTAAAGAGAAAAAAGAGAAGAGAGAATTAAATTATACTCTTTGTCCACATGTCTGAGTAGGACAAAGAAAGAGAGGTTAATTGATTTTTTGGGTTAGATGAAATATGCATGAGTCTTTTATGAGGTTTATAAGTACATCAACAAACAGTAGCTTGGGGTGATGTAAAGAATTCTGAAGACTTTTCTCTAGTCATCTTTATTTTTTTGTTTTTTGTTTTTAATTTTTTTAATGTTTATTTATTTTTGAGAGAGAGACAGAGTGCAAGCAGGGGAAGGGCAGAGAGAGAGACACACAGAATCTGAAACAGGCTCCAGGCTCTAAGCTGTCAGCACAGAGCCTGACGTGGCGCTGGAACCCATGAACTGTGAGATCATGCCTGAGCTGAAGTCAGAAGCTTAACCAACTGAGCCACCTAGGCACCCCTCTCCAGTCATCTTTGGATTAGCACATTTTCTGATAGCAGGGACTAATAAAAGACAGTGCACATAGTAGGAGGCTTACTACATGCTTTTGGAATTGTCACAGAAGGATTTTATTTAAATCTGGAACTTGATTCTGAGTAACTGTACTTACTGCTTTCTCCCAGTCCACTCGAACCCTCCCAACAGCACTACTTCGGGTCTGGGTACCATCTTGCAATGTGGAAACCAAGCATGCAGGTGCCATTGGCCAGTGTGGCTGACCCTGCCAGTTGTCCACCCAACAGTGGCTCCAGGTCTACACTTCTCCCACCCGGTTCTGTGCCTCAGGAGGCTGATTTTATGGTTCACTTCCACCAGGCTCCCTTACTCACTAGGTGGGTCCAGCCAGTGGGAGGTACCAGCAGGAGATCCGAGACAGGGAGGATAGACAGGGTGTAGTGGATTGAACTGTGTGTCCTCCTCGACCCAAATTCATACGTTTAACTCCTAACTCCCAGAACTTCAGAATGTGACTGTATTTGGAAATAGGATCATTACAAATATAATTAGTTGTGTCCAGCCACTCCTGAAGGGCACAGCAACTCCAAAGAAAATGAATAAATTTGGGGTAATATAGCAAGTAAGAAGGAAGATGCTATTGGTTAAACCATCAATGGCAGATTTCTAATGACACTGTACTAGACCCTAGATGCTGCTATACCCAAATTCCAAAGCCCAAATTCCCTGGACCTTTCAGGTACATGAGCCACTATATTCATTTTTTTTTTTTTAATGCTTATTTATTTTTTCAGAGAGAGAGACAGAGTGAGTGAGCGAGCATAAGTGGGGGAGGGGAAGAGAGAGAGGGAGATAGAATCCTAAGCAGGCTCCAAGCTCTGAGCTGTCAGTACACAGCCTGATGCAGGGCTCAAACTCACAGACTGAGAGATCATTACCTAAGCCAAAGTCAGGAGCTTAACTGACTGAGCCACTCAGGCATCCCTAGTCTCTGCTTGATTAAGCCAGTTTGTATTGGGTTGTTTATTGCTTACAACAGGAAAAGTTTTAACTCCTATTCCTTTTTCTCTCCAATCAGCTAACCCCCACTTGTCCTTCTAGATGCCTCCAGGAAGACTTTCTGACCATTCTCACCCTCCACAGCTTAAACTCCCCAGCCCCCCACCCCCAGTTCCTCATTTGCCACTCTGTCATAGCACCTCAGACATAACCATAACATAATACTTGCCCACATGTCTATCTTCCCCACTTAACTATAAACTTCCTGAGGACAAGGCACATGTCTCTTCTCTTTATATTCTTAGTGCTTAATTGAGTGCCTTGCATGGAGTAGGTGATCAATGGGTGGTAAGTAAATGAATGAATGAATTCACCATTCAACTCTCAAACATCAAAGCAAGAAAGAGCTTATTTACAAGAATTCTGACATCTTTTTTTAAAAGTTTATTTATTTATTTTAAGAGTGCATGCAAACGGGAGAGGGGCAGAGAGAGACGGAGAAAAAGAGAATCCCAAGCAGGCTCGGCACTGTTAGTTCAGAGTCTAATGTGGGGCTTGATCTCACAAACGGCAAGATCATGACCTGAGCTGAAGTCAGACGCTTAACCTACTGAGCCACCCAGGCGCCCCAAGAATTCTGATATTTAAAACTAGCGACTGCTTGGGGTGCCTGGGTGGCTCAGTCAGTTGAACGTCCAACTTCGACTCAAGTCATGATCTCAGTGTTCATGGGTTTGAGCCCCACATGGGGTTCTATGCTGACCGTTCAGAGCCTGGAGCCTGTTTCAGATTCTGTGTCTCCCTCTTTCTCTGCCCCTCCCCTGCTCACACTTTGTCTCAAAAATAAATAAACATTAAAAAAAAAAAACCCAACTATGGATTGCTAATATAATTCTGGACAGTTTCTCTTCATTTTCTTCTCCTAATATTTTATCATGAAAATGTTCCTTCTTTTTTTTCTTTTTTTCCCCCCTTCACTTCAAAATAGCCAACTCAGCTTCATAATCTTAGATAAGGCTGAAAAAAAAAACTGTTGTGAAATTGATTCTCACCAAAAAGGAAAGTGCTGCTTAAAATTTTTTACTGAAAGCTTTACTATAGCCGTTAGTCCATAAAACAGAGCAGTTCTCGAGTTGCTGGAGATTGTTTGCAGTCTTCTACCTCCTTGCTGATAGCCTTTTATTAAAAAATTGAAACACTGCTGGCCGGGGTAATAAAATTAAATGTACTGGAGCATGTAACAGGGTTTTCTAAGTCTGCCTTGCAACAGTAGGGTTGCCTTCAAAAAGCCATCTTTAACCCAACTAAGAAAATACTTGTACAACAATGCAAATATGTATCTAGCATGGATTGCCGTATAATTTAAACAATTCAGCAATTGTAAGATGGCAGTGTCTCTTTCTTTCCTGTCCATAAAAGATGCATTGTTCCCTTGGCATTTACTGCAGTGTTTGGTGGTAAAGATTCCTACTACCAAGGGAATGCAGTTTGACTTACTCTATTAAATAGACTTTTAAAATAGCCCAATGGTCTGATGTATGAAGGTCATGCAGACAGATTTAATCACTTTTGATGCAAAGAAATAAAATGGAAGAAATTGTGTTTTCCTTCTGATCTGAGCAAGTGTGGACGTGCCGTGCATACTCAGACACGTGGAACAGTGAGGATATTGTTCAGCTGTTGTTTAGTTTAAAAATTATCTGCCAGGGAGCTGAAAGAGAGAAGGGAGAGCAAATGAAAAGTTGTGGTGAGTGAAGAGATAAGAGAGGAAGTAATAGAGAGAAAAATTAAAGAGTGAGATTAAGAAAGTGTGGGCACCCAGGGTTTATGTAATGCGGACAAACATACTGAGTTCATGATTGTTAAAGGGTGAGTATGTGCAAGTTTCGGCAAGCAGAGGAAACAGTTAAGACAACCTCAAACAAGGTTAAAAAGCAATTTTTAAAAATCCAGAATTAAAAGGAAAAAGACTAAATGACAAAGACATCATCATGTCATCATGAGTCTGCAACTTACTTTAAAATGCACCCAACGGGGCGCCTGGGTGGCACAGTCGGTTAAGCGTCCGACTTCAACCAGGTCACGATCTCACAGTCCGTGAGTTCGAGCCCCACGTCGGGCTCTGGGCTGATGGCTCAGAGCCTGGAGCCTGTTTCCGATTCTGTGTCTCCCTCTCTCTCTCTGCCCCTCGCCCGTTCATGCTCTGTCTCTCTCTGTCCCAAAAATAAAATAAACGTTGAAAAAAAAAATTAAAAAAAAAAAATAAAATAAAATAAAATGCACCCAAAAAACAAGGTAGATGGATAGACGGATGGACTGATGGATTGGTGGACAGATATGCAACCAAGCCAATAAAGCAAAATGGTAACTGTAGAATCTAGGTGGTAAATATGTGGATGTTCCCTCTGAAATTCTTTCACTGTTCTATATTGCTGGAAAAATTTTGTAATAAAATTCGGGGGTGGAAAACATCATCATAAAAGACTGAAACCCCAAAGAGAGAAAAGGCAGAAATTGGAGTTCAACCCAGACAGCACCTTGCACCGATGTTCATGTTGGGTACGCCCATAAGAAGCAGACTAGAAGTGCAGAGACTAGAAAGAGAAACTACTTGCATTGGAAAGTCACTGAATCTGCATCCGGTAATGAAAATAATTCCACCCCAGAAAGGTCAAAAGCACATGCTGTGAGGTTAGTGCACTGAAGTGTGGCTTGCTATGGCATTGTGTTTGTTGAGATTCTTTGGGTTTGCAAGGTTTAGAAATCTGTTCGGGTTACCTTGGTTACTGGGTATTTTTCACAAATCAGTTTAGGATAGATTTTGCCGCAGCAAACAACCCCTAAATCTGAGAAGCTTATATCATCAATGGCTTTTTTTTCACTCATGTTACATGAACATTTCAATCAGCTATAGTTCCCTGCTCCACGTTGTCTTTACTCTGGGACTCAGGCTGACGAGCTTCTCTCTAAAATAGCGCTAGTTATCACATTAAGTGAATACGACATGGTGAACCATGCTTTGACTCTTAGAGTGTGTATTTGGAAATGACATGTCACGTTCACACATTGCTTTGACCTAAGCAGTCACATGGTCAAGCCTCCCTTAGAGAGAGGCCACAAATATTTTTGAACACGAATATAGTCTCACACACGGGGTTAGTGTAAAGGCAGAAGGTGTGGAAGGAAAATGGGAATTCCTCTGACTGGGGGCAGGTCTCAGGGAGAAGTGGACCAGGGTCCATGGCTGTTCAGGGCACAGGTCTGGCTAATCACAGTAGCCTCATCTACCTATAGCTTTGTGGCTCAACAACAGTTCTGGTTCTCAATCTACGTGGGACTCAGCCCTGTGGCATCGCTACTCCCCAGAAGGAAGAATCTGATTGGATTGGTAAGATACTACTCAGAATGGGCCATCCCTGTTGGGCAGAGCAATTGTACCAGATCATTTCATAGCCACTTGGCATTCTCAAGTGGCTGCCCATAGGGTGCGACACTTATTCTTGGCTCAATCACTTGTAGCCAGGGTAATGGGGACATGGACAAAGCAGGGACAGAGGGCTGAAGTTAAGGCTGTGGGTGTG